CATCCGCGATTATTTCGGCTGCATATATTCCACATCTTATGGTCATGCATACAATAGATGAACCTGCAAAGGTCAATATGCATCTTCACCAAATCGCCTTTTATCAAATTCACATCATAAATCCCGAATTCTATTGGATTATCATAAATCATATTCACCATTCCTCCACCTCCATATTTAGGCAACATATTATCTTTCACGTTGGGACCAACATCTTTAAATGATAAGACGCCCGATCTAACCATTTTCTGAACATTAGACTTCAAAGGGTAGCAATTCTCGATGTTGTTCCTAGGGGCTCCCTGATGAAAGGCACAAGTCTGGTATGCCTTGTAGTACCATGGCAAAGGTGACGGTATAACAGGGGGATTCCTAGTTTGCACTAGGTTCTTCTGAATCAATGCTGGAAATAACTCTACGTAACTCATCGGGATATGATCAAAAGCTTTCCTCTTTTGACACTGCATTTGATTGCTTTGTTAGGGTGCTCTTTGATACACAAAGTAGTCGGAGCTACGTTAATAAACGAAGTTACCGAAGCAACCTATTATTGATACACATGACGCCTTATATGAGGTTTAACCATTCTCTCTTGAATAATAGCATTTGTATCTCCTTCTTTCTTTCTAGAAAATCCATATGATGGTTTCCTTGTACCACTAGAACTTTCATCTCTTGTCAAACGACCTTCTCTCACAGCTTCCTCTAAGCGAACACCCATACCTACCATCTCGGTGAAATCACTTGGTGCACTCGCCACCATTATTTCATAGTAGAAGGAACCGAGAGTCTTTACGAAGATCTTTGTCATCTCTTTCTCTTCCATTAGAGGGATCACCTGGGCGACTATTTCACGCCATCTTTGTGCATATTCTTTAAACAACTCTTTGTCTTTCTAGACCATAGCCCTGATTTGATCATGGTCAGGTGTCATATCCACATTATACTTGTATTGCTTAACAAATGCTTCTCCCAAGTCGTTGAAAGTATGAATATCGGCACTATCCAAGCTCATGTACCACTTCAATGCATCACCAGTCAGACTGTCTTGAATAAAATGGATTAGTTGACGTTGATCATCAGTGTGAGCGGACATTCTTCTCACGTATATAACAAAGTGAGCATTAGGACAATTATTTCCCTTGTATTTCTCGAATTCCGGAACTTTGAACTTTGTAGGTACTTTTACATTTAGAACCAAGCATAGATTGCTTACGTTTTGTCCAAACAACTCTTTTCCCCTGAGCGCTTTCATTTCTTTCTGCATCTCATTAGACTGATCTTGGAAATCATCTATTCGATCGTAGAATCCAAATCCTTCACTTGGTGGAGGAGTAATATGACGAACCATATCATTAATAACAGGGACAACATTCATTATTGGAGGTATAGCATGGTGAATCTCATTGTTAATAGTAGGAGTAACGTGTACCATAGGAAGGGCAGAAACCATAACTTGTTGAGCAGGCTGGGAAATTTGAGCAGTAGGGTTATATCCTTATGGCATATAACCTTTGAGCATTCCCCATGGATAACCAGATGGTATGCGATGCTGAGCAGCTGTATTATTCGGAGCAACTGAGATGGGAATTGTCATAACCTCAGAGATGACCGTTGTTTGTTGTGGTTGCGTAACATGAAAAGGTGGAGGAGGTGGTGGCTGATTTTGAGCAGCCACCGATGACTCTACCAAAGCAGTTAAGTTTTCCATTCCGGTTCTTAAGGCAGTAACCTCTTCGCAAAGTTCGCGATTCTCTTGTTTGAGATTTTTCATCTTCTTCTTAGAGTTGGCTCGAGTGTTGTACCAGTGAGACAACTTGATTCTGGATACCAAAGGATCTTGAGTAAGACTTCTGGGAAACTCATGAAATACAATATGATGTGTGACATGCAATACAAATGCCATGTTCTCATTTCCAAAATTTTATACGCTTTGATTCCTATTATTAAGCCATGGTACTATTATGTATTTTTTCAATGTATTATTATTTTTTCAATGTTTATTTTTTGAGGCTTAACCATTGGAATCAAAGAAGTGATGCTTGGAAACAAAGTAACATGTATGCTAATAATTACATTAATATGCCATGTATGCGAACATGTAGGGTCAAAGCTTCTGCGATATTGAATAGCTACTGAACTGATAACAGATCCACGGTCACATGTAATAAGATCAAAGGTCCAGACCAATTTAGAATACCAAAGAACCAAAGTCACCAACAGAACATAGTCACCATATGTACATGTAAATATTATTCCCTCCATGCTCACGAGTCTATACTAGGTCAGGGTAAAGTCAATGGTAACTCAAAATCACAAGTTCGCTTGAGAGTACTATCATCATACACCTATGTGATAATGATAACACCTCATTAAGACCTCATCTGAGCATGGACGACACATCCGTCTAGGGTAATCTACATCCCCTATCCTTCGTGTTCCACTCTATTCCTAATGTTCCCATTGTTTGTAACTTGGCCTGGGTATTGGGCCTTTTACCTCATAGTAACACCCACCCATCAAGAAACACAGAATCTAGCACAACAGAAATAACCAGTATATGGAAAGCGATAAAAATGCAATGCATACATATGCTCAAATATATACAAATGAATTGACTACAAGGCATAAAGATAAACACCCAAAGAGAAGAAAAACATGAGCTAGGAGTGACTCATGGGATGGACCAGTAATTGGTCAACTTTCCCTAGTGAAGTCTCCATTTTTCTGTAGCGGTAAAATCAATAAAGTCGCCACCGAGTATTTATTTATCCCCCGTAAAAGGGAAAGGAAAATCATTGAAGAAAAACCTAAAGGCGAAAAGTCAAGGTCTTGCGACCGAGAGGTTGGATAAGAGAGTCGATTACGTGAGGGGAAGGTGTTAGCACCCCACACGTCCGTAGTACTCTATGAGATCCACTCTTGTTGTTCTAATCAAAGGGTGTGTTCAATCTAATGCTTAAGAGCTATAAAAATCTAAGAGGGAATGCATACAAAGAAAACAGAAAATAATGTAGGAAAAATAAAATTTATGCTCGTTCAGGCCCTACCCCAATGCATATGTATTCCTTTTAAGGAATCAGAGCAGCCGTAGTTCGACTGCTATATTTTTTGTTTGTTTGTATTTTTAAATGAACAGTGTTAAATTCAATCATTCCACCGCAACTCGACCTTTGGAGACTCACACACTGTAGTGGAAAGGAATCAACATATTCTTAGAAGAGAAAAGTTGAATGGCATAAATAAATCGATTGGTTGGTATTTTTTTACCATGAAAAGGGTTTTTGTATGTTTAACATGTTTTATACATTTGCCAAGAAAACAAGTTTTAGTTTTAAATGCAATTAATAAAAAAAATGGGAAGAAAACATCTAAGGGAGACTAGCCTATCTCTAACCTAGTGTTATCATACAATGATGGCCCTATGTCAAGGGTGGAAAGGAAAATATCTACCATATATTAGCATGCATGGATAACTATCTTAATGTCTAACTCAAAAACTACCCTAATCGAACAACCCTAAGGGAACATGCAAATTCCTATTCTAAGGAAACATGATATAGAAAACAAATAAGAAAACATTTGCTTTGGCAAAAGCACTCAAACATAAGTAGCACATACTGACTCAAAGAAATGGGGGAAACAAGAGAAATGATTTAGCTAAGGGGAGCATATCACCCGAAGCAAACAAACGGGAGACAGATGAAATAAAAATGTGGTGTTCAAAGCGGCTGAACACCTAACCAAGATATAGGAGATCAAGGTAGGAAATAGAAGACAATATGAACGACCACAGAGTGTCAACATCGGCCAATGTAAACTCCTGACAAAGTGTGGGGGTTTGATTACAAAACCCTTCCCCACATGACTGACTCGATACACAAGATATGCACGACTCTGAAGTATCGACGTACAACATGAGCTAAGGATAACACGGACTAGAATGTGCGGTGGTTGATTACGGAACCTCATCGCTTGCCTCCTTTTGAGGACTTATCATTGTAATATAATGCGGGCAAAAATGTAAACACACGTGTAGAATACCTACTTTAAGGGTAGGATTTTAAACAAACACAATTAGTATACAGAAAGTGGTGCCTGCTACAGGACTTTAAACAGCGACTTCGAGCGCATGCTCTTTATTTCCTACTTCTCATGATATCTAAAAAGCGATAAAGTGCAAAAATATAAACTGGAAGCACTATAATACCAAACAAACAATAATGTCCTCAAAAAACACAACCAAAACAAAGAAATCTGGAATACTTCGCGCGAGCTAACTGAGAAGGTTTGTTGCCTCTTCAAAGCCTTGCAAGCGATAAGAAAACTCTACAGAAGATTCATACAAGTGATCAAACAAACTAATCCTCAAGCATTTCATACCACAAAAGTTGCATCAACATTCTATCACAAAGCTAATCTCATAAACATTAAATGAAACATAAAGCCTATTTTTATCAAGTTTATGAGATTTCTTATGAACCAAACCAAAAACATATACTCAACCATTTGTTTAAGGATCAGATCCTGCCTATTAATCATTTACAATGCTAAAAATATTGAATCGAACAAGAAGGATCGACAAGAATCAAGTCTAAAACCTAATTCTAGCCATTCATCAATTATTAATTCAGTTAATTCCTAAACAAAAATAATATTCTGAAGAAAAAAAAGCCAAAATCTGGAATTAATATGTGAACATTCATACAAAATTCAACTAAAAATTATGCATGAAACATTAAAATTATTTGCTAAAGATTCATAATGAGGATAAAATGAGGAACAAGGTGGTGTACTAGACTAATCAGAGGTCCGAATAGTACAGGCTTGAACGTCTGAGCTTAATATTCCAATTCCAGGGGACGCCCAACATGAACTTAAGTCCAAAGCATTTCTAATAATTTTCAAATTTTTATTGCTATTGCTATTTTCTGATTTTATCAAATAACAATAAATAAAAGAGAAAAAAAAAAGAAAAAAGAAAATTTAGAGGAGATGGAATAGTGTGTTTTCACGCTAGGGGTTGTGACTATTTGACTTCTATATCTATCTCCCCTTCTCAAACTTCTCTCTTTATTTCCGTCAACACGTTGCTGCGGCCACCACCGATTACTACCACGAACGGCCATGTGTCGTCCTTATCTCTTATACTCCTCATCGCTTGCGAGTCAGAACCTCACCTTCATAGATCTTAACCTTCTTTCTGAATCTAACAGGAAAACTAGACCTAGTCTCGCGATGTAACAAAATTATACGTTCTTCTTTAAGAATCCAAGCCTCTACTATGGGGATAACTCCTAGGATCTTTAAACAGTCGAATAATTCAATGAAAGCGACGAGAAGTGTACGGTATACCAACCTGCGGAGTCGAGAATTTCTTTGGCGTTGAATTTGTTGATGATTATTATTGATTAGGTTGCGGAGATTATGTTGACACAAAGAAGTTACAGAAATGAGAACTAATGCAGTTGTTGTGATGTTGTAGATGAGTGATGTACGAAGATGATGAAGGATTGAGAAGTGTGATGAAGATAAAGATTGGAGGTGGTGATTAAAGAACAGTGAAGATGAAGGAGAGAGGAGAAGAAAAAGCCTCTAGAATTTTTCTGGTGAGTTTTTATATAAAAAAAATTCCCTCTAGTTTTGTTCTCCCTGATCTTAATGAATCCTTTCCCTTCTTAATTCTGTTAGAATCCTGTTATGTCGTTTTCTCAGTCTATGAGAGATTCAGTTAGGAAGTTCGAAAATTCTGTTAGAAAAAACAGTTTGGATCCCCTTAGTTAGTGAATTGGATTTGGTTAGAAGTAGATTAATCTGAGCTGGAAAATTTATTGAAAAGATTGATAAAATTTGGTTTAGAGTTTGGTTAGACCGTCAGGAAGAATTCAGTTATCAAGTTTGTTATGGTTTTATTGAACAACTATCCTCAAACTGATTTTTTGCAGTGTATTACTCTTGGCCTGATTTATATTTTCCCTCTGTTTCGATTTGCAGTAGACTCGTTATTTCTGATTTTTCTTCTAGTTTGATTATGCAGTGCAACTTGTGTTTGGATCTTTTTCTGACTTTCTGTTTTGGTTCGAAAACACTCCTTCTGACCTTATTAACACCGGTTGCGGGTCTGTGTTGGATTTTTAACTGGTTTTGTTAAATTGAATGTGTAGGGCTATAGCATAGTTTATATGATTTGATCCAATGGTCCATGGTGCAAAGCTGAAACTAACATGGCATAACAAGGTGCATAGAATTCGGAAGCATGAAGTTTGACACAGAGCTCATAGAATTAGGAAATTCATTAACTTGTAATATTTTTATAGTTTTCTTTGAAATGCAACAGAGGTGATAAGATTGGATTTTGGATGTAATCGAATTTGGTTTATGGCCTTTGATTTTTCAATGTTGAGACATAGTATCTCGTACTTGTTTAGAAATTTTGGATATAAATGGAAGTTGTTTGAGACTTGTGATTAGAATTGAAATAAACATCCCAAATCAAATCATGAATAAGCTTGAATTCAAGAATTTGAATGAAACTTGTAGTTTTGGAATATTAATCCACTTTCCAAACTTGAACCAAAATGAACACTTGAATGGAATTAGAATGAATGAAAATATATTGCCATTTGTATCTTATCTTTTCCATTCCAAGAAACTCTTATGACGAAGGTTTCCAAACTTGCTTGAATTAAATTCTTGAAAATAAACCAATGCTTAGATTTTTTAATTCCATTTGATTATCCTCTAAACACTTCACTTCATGATTCAGTGAATGAATTCCAACCAACTTGCATATTTAATGAACAATCCTTAAACTCAAGATATGACATAGCATTCAATCGAATCAATAATATTCATGCATGAACCCAGTCAAGAAAACAACCTCTCCATATTGCCTTTGCCCAAAATCAAAGCCTTTATCTGTATTCTTCCGACTCACTTAATGCTCCCTCGCATCATATCTTGTATTGTGCTTCAGCTTTTATAATTCAAGTCACAAACATGTCCGCTTGAAAACGTCAGGCTAAAATCCTTAAGAAATTCCCTTGAAGATGATAATTTCTGGCGCACAATATAGGGCTCTCTGAGAAAGCCCCTTAATAAAAAACAAACCCTAATATCATGATCTTTGAAGAAGAAGTAGATTGGAGACAATTGCCGAAAACCTGGCTTTGGTCGCAAATAGGAAAATAAAGCGTGATAGCCTCGTTGCTTGATGAAGAAATAAATTCTCAATGACCCGGGTCACAACTCTAATTCCACTGCTCACTGCCTGAATAAGAAATCAACTTTTATTGGATACAAATTAATTAACCATTGTGAAACCCTAATATCGCACCACCACTGAACTTCGAACCAAAGAGCTCAATCCATAGAGAAAAACCCTGATGCCAAAGAGCCTTTTGATCCCATAACCACGGACTTAAAAAAAATGCATGAGATATATATGATGTGATGAGGGATCTTGGGGTATAACACCCGGTTCGGAGCAACTCTCCTACTCTGGGGTCATACCAAGCAAGGGATAAAGTACACTATAATAGTATCAGTTTTAAGCTAAACTCCCCCGATTACAACTTCTCACTTAATCATTACTCGTGCTAACTTTGTACCTAAGACTCACCTAGGTATGAGGCCCTCCTCAATCCCTCATCAATCACAGACAACTATTGGATACTAACAGGAAGACACACTTCCATGACATAACAAGAAGACACACTTCTATGATAATACCTAGCCAAGACTCTTGACTAAGAACAATACTTAGAGTTTCTTAAAAGCTTCATCTAAGAACAATACTCACTCTTACTTCACAGCTTCGAGGAGAACAATCAACATTCTATGCTTCACAGCTTTAGAATGAACAATAATAGAGACTTACAACTCTAAAACATAGCCCAACTCACGTGTCGAGTGGATCACACATACCAACTCTCATAGAGAGTGGCTTACATACTCATCCCTAACAACTACATCTTTTCATTCATGGCTAGTGCACTTCTAGGTTACAAACACTTATATTTATAACCTTTTTCCCAACCGGATTTAGACTTCAAATCACATCATATCAGTTGCTACAAATCCGTAGAAACTTCTTCTATAAAATAGGTTTTCAAGCAAATCTTTCCTAATTTATCTCCATAATTAGAAAGTCAATACTCTTCAATATTCTTCCAGACCTATAAAACAACACCACATAGGATAGCCTAATATTCCTAGAATATTCTACATCTGTTAATTGATTCAATTGTCCAACCCAACACAGGCGCGATGTCAGATGACCCTACATAGGATATCTTATCTGACATGTTGCTCCAAATGGTGAGAACTTCTCATCTCAACAAGTCTCAACATAAAATAGGACTTCTTGCTCAACTTGTTCTCCATAACAAGTAATCATATCCTATTTAACATATTGTTGCTATATTTGTTTTAATAAAATTCATGCTAATCCTAAAAATAGAGAACTAACACACAGGACACAAGTATGCTCATAACCCAGAACACAAGTACAAACACAGGATGTTGGAACATCTAATGTGACATCCTGCAAACACAACTACAACAAATTTAACAGCAACATTAGAAGCAACAAACACAGAGCACACTCAGACATGAGACTCACATGATGGACATTCATGCTCCCCCTAGCGTGTTACATACAACACTAGACTATACTCAATGACATTTTTCTCCCCCTTTTTAGCTAAAATTTGACAAAAACATATTAAAAAGAAACTGACATAACTAGAATCAAAACATGCAAGAATTTATTCAAGACAAAAAAGAAGGAAGACTAAAAAAACTGACTCAATAACTTGATTCAGAAGCAAAAACACCAAAATGGCTCAAGAGAAAAGAAATCCCCCAACCAGGACGAACTCAACAAAAAAATCTAACCAAAAGAAACAAAGAGTAAGTCTAAGTTTCAAAAATGACCCAAAGAGAGAAGAACTAAGTCTCTAGTAGATCCAAGAAGACTACTAAAGAAAAAATATACTCAACAAACAGAAACAAAGACCACACACCCTTTATATATATAAGATATCATTCACCATCTATCCAATTCTCCCTCCTGAGTCAATGAACTTGACTCGGTCTTCATCAACATCTGAATCTGAATCATGTATCCTTGACCCAGTCTTCATCAACATCTGAATTTGAATCATGTATATGAACCTAATTCTTCTTCAAGGATTCTATCTCTGTCACAGATGTTTTCCCTATTCCGGATGCTCCAATTGATGTTCCAACATTTGTTGTAATGTTGAACCCAACCTTCTTTGGATCACTTCTTTTATCCTTGTTGAATTCCAGTAGATAAACCTTCTTAATACTAGCATCTCTAGAATATTTTCTCATGTTGAAATGTAGCAAATGAGGATGTTGAGGTAGACAATTTTTTAAAGACAAAGAGAGTTACTTTGATTGTAACGATCATCTAGTCAATGTAAACATTGTTGGAAGGATATAAAATCTTCTTGAGTAACAGTGCAACTTTCATAATAGGAGAGAGACATGTTCTTGTTCAACTTTTTCTCTTTTCAAAACTTTTATTGTTGACAATGTTATAACATTTGAAATGAAATTCTTCATGCCATTGAAAAATTCTTTTTCTGAGACTGCACGTTTCACAAGGATAGCAGGTAGAACCGTCTAAACAATTTCCACAAAATTTATTCAGTAGTGCAATTCTAGACATACCCCTCATATTCTAAATGTAACTTGCACCTCAAGTTATGAGAATACTTCCTAGAGCTTCTCAGACATACCCGATTTAGGAGTGCTAAAACCTTGCTTGTAACAAGACCCTTGACATAATGTTGACTTAAACCCATGACTTTATTCTGTAAACTTAACAGAATCCTTGAGTATCTTGATTGTATTGGCTTTTCATACTGGAATGTCATGACATTCAAGTTGACATTGTACTTTCTTAGTAATCAACCCAATTGAAAACACATTTTTCTTCAACAATGTACCTAATCTTCAGAATATATCAAGACTTAATTAATTCTAATCTAAGAAACCAGATTGTTTCTTAAAACAAGAATATCCTCCAATAATACAATCTTCTTATGACTTAGCCCAAAAGCTTTTACCCCATATTCTTCAACATCGCATATTTCACCTTTGAAACAACTGATGATTACAAACTAAAATAAAATCCAAATAATAAAATCCTTCTTAAACACTT